CCCCAGGGTAAGAAGCTCGTAGTACAATTTATTTATGGTAGTGCGGAACTCTTCCCAAGGGTAATCAAATTTAACATATTTTCATTTTTTCCTTCACTCGTAAAGCTTAAAAAAGTCAATAAAAAGTTTGGGTATTAGGTAGAGCGAGAGTTATAAAAGCATACCTATTACCTATGTACATGTAAAATATATAGAGTGATTCACAAAATATGCACATCTCCAATATTTTATTTAATAAAACTGTTTAAAAATTCTGATTATTATTTTAATTTTTAAATATAATTAAAGAATATATTTTTAAATTATTGAAAATTATTGTACTTACTTAAAGAACGTCTTATAATGATATAATTTTCTGTTTTTAAATAAGAAACTGTAAAAAGGAGGTATTCGACAGTGGATTATTAAATAGATTTCTAGTTTACAATATACATATAAATAATATTGGTTTTTTATTTATTATACTTGAATAATATTCATAAATTATAAAAAGATTGTAGATTAATATTTATAAATCAAGTTTAAAAATAATCTTAGCTACCATATCTTCCAAACACATTATTGTGCATCAATTGTTATCCTTACTACATAAAATATTTTAGTAACTTAAAAATTACGAGTTAGAATTTCGATTTGGATACATGGATATTTTCAAAAAAAAATATTAATTTAATAAATTTAATTCTAAAATTAAAATTTTGTTGTTAATGTACATGATATGCTTTAAGTAATAAAAACAATTTAAAGAATTTAATAACATAGTTAGGTTTATATTTAGGTTTAATTTAAATAAATAAAGTATGAAATAACTGCATTATGAGAGAAAAAAAGAGATAGATAATATTTAGTAAATTATCTTTTATATAATGATTTATATGTTGGTAATTACATTGATATAAAAATATAAATCTAAACAAAACATTATAAAACAGTAATTTATTTAAAAGTCATGTATTCTTAATAGTTAGGTAGAGGTATAATGAACTTGAGCCTAGATGAACTGATTAAATATAGATTATCACTGAGCTTAATAAGTTTCTAAGATTATAAATTTTATGTTTTTTATACAGTTAAAAAAGATAAAAAAAATAACGTATTTATGTTTCTATTTTTTAAATATAATTAAATAAGTATCAGTATATTGTAAACATTAAAAAAAAAAAACTAATAATACATATATTATGTATAAATGTAGCTATTATAACAACATTTTAGTACCTACCAATAAATAATATTATCAAAAACACATAAATTTGCATAATACACAAAATATAAATTAATTTAGACATATATATATATATTTTAGCTACAATTTAATAAATTCAATTCACTAATTGTAAAATTATTTTATTTTTTTCTGAAAACATGATAATGTATTATTAATTAATATAATACTGTTGAATTTATATTTAAATTAAAAATATTTTTATATATTCTACATTCTTTTAAAGTGTAGGTGCTAAAAAATTCAAAATAAATTTAATACTTTAATATTTGTTTGAATTATGTTATTTAAATAACAAAAATGTGTATATAATCATTTCTAATTATTAAATGTATTGCGTAAAATGGAAAGTATATAAATTAAATATAATTAATAGTAATTGTTAAATACTCAATACACTAACTGCTATTAATAACAATGTTTTAAATAGAGAAATGTCTTCATATTTCCTTCTAAAATTAAACACGTTTCATCATAAAGTTAGTTTTGATATGATTATTTCTATGAGTAGGAAGTAAAATATAGATATGCTTCGTTCTAAAAATGCATTAAAGTTTAAAAACTAAATTAAAATAATATCTATAATGTTGTGTAGATAATCATATATCTGGAAAAAGTCTTAAAGAAAATTAGGATTTATCGAATAACACTAATAACAGACATTTCTTGAAATTTATTCCAAGAAATATCTCAACGATTAATTGATATTACTAAAAATACGCAACACCCGCATAATATGTTATCACTGTCTTACAGATATACAATAATTTACATTTCAATTCAGTAAAACCCATTATTTGTTGTTAGCTTTAATATAAGTTAAGAATATAATCAGTGATTTAATGTTGGCTTTTTCGATATTTTTATTTTTTTATTTTTTTTTTAACTAGATATGGACATTTTCAATTTTTTATATTATACATTCGTATATCTTATGGTTAATACTCATTTTTTCGATAAATATACAAAAATATATTTTTAAAAACACATCTTTACAGTTACAATTTTTCAATATTTTATCTTAGATTTTTAATATTTAAAAATAATTTTTCAAACAATAAGTTTTATAAGTAAATTAATTAATTATCTAATTATAAATACATAAAGTTTAGATAAGTATAATTGAGTGCCACATGGGTACCCAGCAAAATTATGGTCCACTACTTCACTCATCAAACTTCAAATGCTTATAACATATAAGTTATGACTAATTAACTACTAGTTTAACAGATTTTGTCAAAAACTAGTGTTGAGTAGTAAAAATTTCCGTTTTCTCACTAATTATTATTAAAATATTATGGATTTCAAATTATTTAAAAATAATTGGAAATGTTTAGTTAGCTATAGAAAAATCACTTTTCAAATTTAAAAAATTATTTTTATTTAAAGATGTATTAAAAAACACAAACATAAAGTATATAATGCAAATTATTATAAAACCATATTATATTCATCACTTAGATCAGAAAAAAAAATAATTTATCCATCTAATATAATCTAACATTATGTCATTTTTATGTAATGATACGTCATAATATTGTTTTTGTAACAAATATTCAAGACAAAAAGGGATTATAAAGAACCTAATATTAAAACAATGTATAAAACAATAATAGAACCGTAACTAGTAACAATGTTATGACGAAATAATATTGTATAAAGTACACATTCCAGAAAATACTAAACAAGTGTCTTTAAAAACAAATCAATATCATTTAATATAGTTTATAAACAGTCTACAAATAAAAATAAATTAACATACAATACTTTTCATTTCGAACATAATCAAATTAATGATCTCATATTCGTTCTGTAATATTGTTTTATTTACCTACTCCTAAGTATCTAATATACATTTTATTTATTTTCAACACCTTACGTTTTATTTGTAAAATAATGTTGACATTTCAAATATATTATATTACAATATGATAATTTTGATCTTGTAATGCAATATTTATTTAATGACATAAGTTAATAATTATTAATTAAGTTATTTAAAATATGTTATCTTAAATTTCCTTATAATTAATTATATAATATTATTTCTCAAATAGAATCGCAATTTCAAGAATTTGTTTAAAGTTTCTAAACATATATTTAATCACCTTATATCCCCATAGCACGTTATGCCAGTTAGTTTATAATAGGGATTGTCTATTTGGTTAACATAAGGAAATATATAGGGATTAATAAAATTGCAACACATATTATATATAACAACAATGTTGTTTTACAGTGGTACCTATTTTTAGCACAGTAAGTTGAGATAATTTTATAACGGCTCTGATAAAAGTAAATTCACACTAAACAGTATTGGAATTTAAAATATATAAAAGCTAATATTAAAAAATACGGACCAAAATTATAGTACTTTAAAATGTTTAAAAAGATTTATCAATTATTTACAAACTTGGATATTTAATATGTTTATAATTTCTATACATAAGGAGGTATTCGTAGATTCTAAGTTATCAAAACTTTTTAAATTGTATACTGAATTATAGTTTATTGTTAAAATATGTAGATAAGAATTCATTATAGGTTAAAATTATTATAATACATTAAGAAAAAAAAGTGACCTTATAGTTAACTATCCATTTTTATTTATTTATTTTTTTTGCAATTGTATATTTGGAATATATAATATACTATATATATTTAATAATTTATATAGTAAATATTATAATGAAGCAAAAAGTGAATCAAATAATAAATTTATAAGAATATTTTAAGTTATATTTATGTTCTAAATACACACTATAAATTACTAATAACACCAGAGTTCTTTTTAAAAAAAAGAAAATAAATTATTTTCCACTATTTTTGGCGTTTCGTAGCAATTTAATATGTACTTTTGTAGTTATGAAATAACCAAAACTGTTATAAAAATATAAATATTAATAATTGTGATTTCATAAATTTCAATTTTGAATTTCCAACTGTAAAGCCTTTAAGCAATAATGTGATGGTTGAACTATTATTTTCACCTTATTTTTTCGTAAACATAGTTTCTATTGAATATTTAGTGAGAAAAGTATTCAACAATTTTAATAAAAATATATTAATATATAATCATTCGTTTTACTTTTAGACATGCGGTTTCAATAACGCTCGGGTTCGGCTTTGAATGACTTTTAAAAAATATCTAATAGGAGGAAAAATATATCAATAAGTCATTGTTGCTAACGAAAAGTGTTCATTCATCTGTTAACATACGCACTTTGTGGTTATAATAATATATATCGACGTAATATATCTATACAGGTAAATACAACATATATACGTTCACGTTGTATGCGTATACAATATCATATTATTATCACCCTGTTCAGGATGACAACGATTAGATATTGGTGAAGGAAAAAAAATAACTATGTTTATAATATTATATTATACTTCTTTTTGCGAGGTAATCGTCCAACGTCTGAAAATTGATTCTCGAAAAAGCTAAAAATAGTTTAAGTGGTTAAATATATTTTCAGTGACAACAATAAACCAACTATAGGAAGATTTTTTTTTATAAAAAATAATATAGTATTATTGTAATAGAATAACGTGAATAATATGAAAATATCACATGCGTTATATTGTAATATGTTATGTATGCATAATAAATGTATGATTATAATATTATTACCATTATTACATATATACCGTGATAATGGAAACAAATTTAAAAAAATGTATAATAAATATATAAAACATTAGACTACATTTTTTGATCTACGTCCATGTTTTAGACACTAAACGGTACAACAAACCCATATTTTACCTGCTGAGCGTTTATGTGGGTGTAAGCAATTTAATTTTTTTTTTTTTTTGTGAAATTGATGGATAACTTGACGTTTAATATGAGGGTACGGTTACATTAACGTAGTTGACCTTGCTGAAAATAAATCAAATCAACAAATCAGAAATATGTTATATTATAATAATACTCTTTGCTTTTTTCCAAATAAAAATGCATTCCATAATAATTTTATTAAATGTAATGCCATGAATAATTATTATTATGTAAAATAACATAGCTTACCCTTTAGTATTTTCAAATATCTATATGATATTAAAACATATATTTTAACGAATTCACGATATGTATTTCATTTAAAATTACTTAAACCACAATTTATTTAAAATATAATGAATTAATATTTTACAGCTTAGTAGGTACTTAGTACTAAAATTCACTAATATACATTAAATGCGCAGAAGTTATTTTAATAATGATTCAGATTGTTATTTTGTGAGAAATTTATACTGCAGTGTGTTTTACTAAACATAGAACCAAAATAACTTAAGTATTGATTTGCATTAAACACATATCTACCGATTGCGGGAAAATTCATGTCAGAAAATTACAGTGGAAATCGAGTCGTATTCGTTAAGTCAAGTACAATAATATGCAATTGGCGTATTCCGACGGGGGAGTGTAACATATAGAGAATAAAGTGTTTTTGAATGCGATTAGAGTAACATAATTACTAGGTATTATTATTATTATTACGTCGTCTGTTTTGTGTGCGTTAAACTGCCTAGGGATACGATGCTAAGTTGGGTTTTCACTAATGCCAACGTAACGCACAGCTGCATACAATCCCAGCCGTGATCCACATATCCACGTACAACTTTTGTGCAAACATATTTTGATTTTAGCAATGTCAATGGATCATCTACAATGATAATACGATATGCATATTATTACGGCTGTATATCGTACCTATAACTGTACTATAATTTAGTGTGTGGCTATTAAAATTTATTTTGCTATGAAATCTAAATAAACATTTCAACGAATATCAAGTTCTATGTTATATCATATCGTTTTTGTTTTCATCGTGAATTATGATAATGATATAAAGTTATTTTAAATAGTCATATTGTACAATAATAATATGGTAGTAAAAAATAATTTTAATTTAATATTTTATTTAGTTATGTATAGTAAATGTCCACAATACATTTTTGAACGACATAGAATTAAGTAAAAAAGTATGCAAAAATGATTACAATGATAAATAATATAATGAAATATAAGACGTTATCTTTATTATGTTGTGTTGTAATGACTTCAAATTATTTAAAAATATATGTTCACAAAAACATGTCATATAACATTTATCTCGAAAATTGATGTACGGATGATAAAATAATGTACCTATGTAATATGGTTTCATGTTTTTCCTATTGTAGGAATGTTAAAGTTAAATATTTGAATCATTTAAAAAAGCGCATATTCAGTACTATAATATTTGAAAAATTCCTAAATAATATGAATACACACTACTAGTGCGGCGTCGGTCGTGCATAGACGAGTAAGTATAGGGAGTAAAAGGTGTGTGCAAAATACATTTATCCCACTATGTCCTGTGGCGTGAGATTTATCGGCTTTGCGGTATGACAAAATGGTAGCTGTTATGGTGGGTTCTGTACATATATCTATTGCATACGAGTCATAGATCGGTGGTGATCTCGAGCCTTGGCCGGGAGTGGAAGAACGCGCTCGTTATGGGACACGACTGCGGTACCCGTCAAAGCAGTGGTACGTTACTTTCGGATCATTTGTGTTGGAATGATAAAAATATCGTTGTGAAATGCATTCGAGCGGTGTACACTATGCACAGTGGTTTTGTAAATTTATAACTTTCCTCCTTGAAACGTCAACGTTTTAGGGTTTTCTTTTTTTTTTTTTTTTTTTTTTTACTGTTGCCACCCGAAGGCGTTGACGATGCTTTGCGAACGTGGTTTTACCATGTTTCTATCCCTACCGACTTTCATTTCCCATGGATTCCGGTCGACATAATTTAAAGTAAATAAAAATACAATCAATCCGGAGATGGCAAATATTAAACATATATATAGTATAGAAAGGTTGATGCCGGAAACAATTTACTAAGTAATTCGATTTCGTGAACTATAGAGAGATTTATTTTTGAGAAATATATATTGTATTATACAATGGAATAACGATACGTCATGCCAGTTTTAAATGTTATTCACGTTTATATCGCTAATGAGTTATATTGTTCCTTTAAACCTTGGCTATTGAAAGTGAAAAATACAACTTCAACCTTAAGTTTTCTCAATCATATTATATATTAATAATAGTAAAAAAAATAAAAATATTCATCAAAAGTTTTGATAGTTATTGCATATGTAATACAAGTATGTATATTAGTATATCTATACATACTGTATTAAAATGTACAATTTTTCAAACAAAAGTACAAAAGTTTGACTTGAAAACAAATATATTTTGAAAATGGTAACAATAAGTTTTTAAATAATAAAAAAAGTACTTAAATAAATAATTGGTAGTTTTTAACATATTCTAACATAAACATTTTGTTTGTGAAATACGTACTATATTTCAACTAAATTGTTGCTATATTATATTATTGATATTGTTTTATTGATTATTGTTTAATATATTATTTTAAAATATTTTTCCTAATTAACTGTTCATGTCATAAAAAAACAATATTTAACTTAAAGTTTTAATTAACAAACCCAGTAAATATTTTGAATTCCTGCTCTCATACAGGCCAATTAGTATTATTCCTTCCTTTCCTAAAATTCTTGAAAACAATTATATTTAAGAGAATCTGATTTAAATAAACCAAAATTCAATAACTCTAAACACTCAACTTGAATTCAAAAAGAAACATTACACACTATACCAAATGCATAGACTAACAGATGATATGATAAAGAAATGTCCAAAATTCATTCTATTAATACAGGTATACCTATTGATGAAGTGTTCTAGCTCCAACCTTTTATAGGCTTTATAACATATTTATTTCCGATATCCCATATTCAAATAATATACACCTAACTACATTTGCAGACAAAATTGTCTAACTATTTTCCAATCCTGGTTTTACTTACTTAACGAAAACACTTCAAGACCATCTTAACCAACTCCGAAATTGGATCAAACTCCGAAGAATATAAATTAATGAAGACAAATTAACCCACGTAATATTTACTCTACGCTCCATCAATGGTTTTCCCTTATCAATTAATAAAATATTATTTTATAAAAATATAACTCCAAATATTTGAGTACCTAATCATAGTTTTTTTGATGATTTGTAATTTAAGTTAAACTAATATCTGTAAAAAAATGATTTTAACTGCGTACTTCTCACTATGTATAAAATATATATATACATGTATAGTACATACTCTAAATAGAGCTTAAAACTAATTCATTTTTCAAGAAATTATTTCAAACATTAAATTTAAATTATTGATTTAAATAATGTATCTAGAATATATACATATTTCGATTCTATTTTTGAATTTTAAATAAATGTACGGTTAACTACTATTGACTAATGCAAATTTTATGAACTTAAGACTATGTATTTTTTAATACTATAATATTTTTATATTTTAACTCTGAAATATTTTTTTTTATTTATATGTGAACCACACGTGAACCATATAACAAAGGATTCATGTACATATTAAATAAAGAAAAATATCGAATAATAAATGTTTCCCTTCTGGATAATATTTTTTTTTTTTATTATTACTGCACAGTTTAACTATAAAACAGTCATTATAAAACCAAAAAATAAAATGCAACTCATATAATTAATTTTCTTTATTAGGATTAGTTTGTTAATTATATTTTTACTATATTTTCATTTGTTTATATTCCTTTTATAAATAAAATATACTCAGTAAGTCAAATTAATATTTTCACTAGTCTGTGTGGCTATGTTTATTCAACTACCTAATTTTGTTTGCATCGTCGGGCTCCTGCGAAAAAGTGGTCAGCTACATGACAACTTAATTGACGAGTGTAGGGAGTTGAGACATACGTATGCTATGACTAACAGCAACAAGTATAGGAATGAACAGTTCATAAAAAAATGGTATATTATAGTAACATATGAACGACTTACAAATCTGCCGAAGACATCTTTTATTGGACAGAAGCATTGAATAAAAACAAAATGCAACAACTAAGAGTAAGCTGTAAGACTTAACAAAAACGCCTTGTAAATGTGTGATATCGTTACACATGATAAAAGACTAAAACATTGATAACTGGAAACTGCGGCGGTGGCGACGACAGTCTACGATAGCTTTAGCGGTAGTGACGAAGAGAAATTATCGTTGATAATCCCGGGTTATAGACTTTCACACGGAAAATACCAATTCCAATTGGATACGCGATATCCCATGAAGTGTAGGGTATAATTTGCTTAAAACGTAAATATGGTGACCAAAACTCCTATATCAACCGAACAACCATATACAAGACCATGGAACACGTGGTTGTTTGATTAAGTCGTAGTGGGTCCGCCAGTAGCAGACACATAAGGTGCGCAGATTATGACTCTATTGACAGCGTCACTGACACCTAAATTTGCGTATTAAAAAATTGGTCAGTGCTGAGTCAACAAATATGCCACCTGGGGGCAATTTTTAAGATTTTACCATTTACAACTCTTGTAAACATTATAAAAAAAAAAAATTTAATAAAAACAAAACCGTTATAATTGTTATTATATTTGTAAAAAAAAAATTAAGTTATTCAATAGATGGATAGAATAAAAATAATTGCATTTTTAAAATATGACAAATAATTTTAATTCACCGTTTATGTAAAATAAACAATAAACAAAAAGTTGTTTGAAATAAAATTGTAGTCTCAAGTATTATAAATTAAGTTTTTTTTAATTAGTTTTAATTTAAACTTAGTACAGATGTGACGTATAGATTAAGACTTTATGTTTTTAATTATTGTTTAAATAATAAAATATATTTAATTTTTTTTTTTTTATTATTATTATTTACAAGTAATTATTTATACGAATTTTGATGTTTTGTTTTAATTATAAATGTATAATGTAACTTTTTGTAGAAACT